GGGGTGGGGTCTCGAGAGCAGGCGCTGGCGGTTAGCCGGAACTACCTCTCCCAGCCTCGTCTCAGTGAGTACCAGGGAGCAGGACGCGCCCTGTCTGTGCCCTTAGCCCAGCCCCTTGCTCCCACTCACCTGCTGAGCCGGCGGGGCGGGTGGGGTGAGGAGGGGGGTTGCTTTCCTCTCGCATCCCCGCGCCCCGACCCCCAGGCCTGTCTCTAGTAGGAGGTTCTCGTGTGTCTCAGTTTCCGCGACAGAGGTGGGCCGAGGGCGAGCGCACCCCCCGGGCGGCTTCCCCTGGGTTGGTGGGCTCCTGGCCGGCGCCCCGCCCTCCCCAGCTTGCCGGGGTTGGAGCATGCTCAGGCGCTCGCTTCCTGGCCCTCCGGGAAGGCCGCTGCGTGCCCCTCCGAGCCTCATCTTCTCCTGGCCTCTTTTGGACCTGTAGGGGTCGAGGGAACGCCCCTCGCCATTCCCCACCCCTCGAGTGGGGACCTCAGGGCAAGCCTTGAGCTCCTGCGGGGGGAGTCGGTGTAGTGCCGTCGCTGACGTGGTCAGGCCTTGCGTGGATGGAGGTCAGGCCCGCAGCCAGAGGGAGATGTTGTTCGGCGGAGAGGCTGCTCCGCAGGAGGACACCTAGATATCAGAGACAGCTAGAGCTGAAAAGTACCCTGCAGGTCGTCTAGTCTAACCCTCTCACTTTACAGTGGGAAGCCCGAGGTTTGGGGAGGGACGGGGCTTGCCAGGCTTTAGAAACGCATACCTAATTTTGGCAGAGCAGGGAAAGTCCAGGTTTCTTAATTCTTGCTGGACCTTTCTCTGCCATTAACTTTGTTGAGTGCAAGGCTGTTTCGAGGAAGCCCAGCAGCGTTGCCCGTATCATACGGCATACATGCAAAACATATACATAGGCATGTTTAAGTGTTGTGGTTGTAAAAAGACGTCAGTAAACCAGTCTGAGGTGGACTGCTCAGCATTTCGGAAAGCAGTGGTTCCTGATTACTGAACAGTGCAGTTGTGTAGCATCAGACCTCTTCGTCTTTTCCTTAGGAGCTGGGATGAGGCCTGGGCACAGACTCTTTAAGAGTCAGGAAAGCGCTTGATGTTTTCCCAGGTGGTGAGACTGTTTGCACGGGTTAATTGCCGGAGTGTCTGTTTGTGGGTGGCTCGTTGGTTAAAAAGAATTTCAGATGAAGGGTTTCAGCCTGGGAGCTCTCCTGCCTGACTAATCCCATCCTGAGCTGTCACTGGGTCATGTGACAGCACTGCAGTGTGAGGAAGGAGGAAAAGACTTGAGTCAGTGGTTTGCAGAGATGTGCTTTTTGTACTGGGAATTATTACATTAGAATGCCTGTTGGAAGTTTATGCGAGCTGAAGTGTTTCAAGAAATTGACAGATGTTGCATGCTTATATAGACGTTGGCAATAAGTAATATGTTATAGACGTTGACAATAAATTGTTAGAAATTTATAACAATTACAAATACTGTCATAAATTGCATTTGTATGCTCTGCTGTTCTTTGGTTAGAGCAGATGGACATTAATGGTGCTTCTAGGAAAAGATTACAAGGGGCAGTAGTCATTTTTCCATATAATTACTCACTCAGTCGCAATTCAGAGAGCATGGACTGAAATAATAAGATAGTTGAAAGAGTGCTCCGTGATCAAGCTTGTAAACCCTTAAGGGAGATGAATGTGATTTCTCAAGGTTCTGTGTGTGGTTAGCCAGTGACTGAAAAACTTCTGCAGATGAGATCCTTCCCTACAAAACTGTTGCAACACAGAGCTTAAAACTGAACCTTCAGAGTTGAAGAATCCTTTCTGTATGCCTAGTACAGTTGACACATGGAAGCACTGTGTTTTATAATTGTTGTATAACTTTAATTTAAACCCCTGGCTCTAATAGTCTAGCATGTGGATTCTAATTGTGGATGGAACCAGAGTAGGGAGTTGGGGTATGTGGGCTGTTTCCCTTCTCTGCCTGGGTTATTCCAAGAAGCGCAAATGATATACTTAAGCTAACGGCTGACTGCATTTGAATGTCATCTTTTTTCCCAAATTGCCACATCCTTTTTTTTTTTCACCCCCAGCAGAGAGATTGATTTTTAATTGATGTAGTCAGTTACAGTGTATCAATTTCTCATTTACAGCATAAAGCCATATTCTTGATTCTAGTTAAAAGTTTGAATTTCTTCTGAATCAATATTGTTTAACCTCTTAATTTTTCTAATTAAAGATTGATGATACCATCATAGGTGAAAAGTTACTGTTATTAATGTGTGCTTTTTGAACCAAGGAATGGAGTAATATTGGCAGTTCCGCTGTACAGATTCATCCTGGTTTTTTTTTTTTTTTGATTTCAGAATTGGGGGCTGTTAACAAGAAATGGAAAATGAGATACGCAGGCTTCAAGTGATCTTGAGCACATTAGTTAAATTTCTAGTCCAAGGAAAGAAAACTTGATTTCCTTTTAAACTTTGTGCAGAGTTAAATAATACACGGAGAGCTCTTGGATGTGACAGTGTTTGAATTAGATAAACTCCCTTGTTCCTGAGATCCTAGATCAGCTGATCTTACGCTTCTTTCAAAGCAGAGCTGGCCAGCCTAGTGACAAGTCAAAGGAGTCTAGGCCTGCCTTATTCTAGAACCTTTCCCTCCTTGCCCACCACTCAAGGCGTGGGTCTCTACTTTTCTTGCACAATAGGAGATGATTGCTCCGGTTTTTGTTTTGCTAATAAGGTGTAGGCTACCAAACTATCGTTATGCAATGATTGTCAAATTTCTCTTTGAAAATTTCACAATCATTAAGTAGTGTTAGTCCTGTTGAACAGCCTTACAGCTTGTGGAGGAAGGAGATGTCATCTGACAGAGTATGTGCTTCTTAAAACCTTTGTAGATTTGGGGTTTTAATTGTTACTCTGTAAATGTTTATCGCCTGCTTGACAGTTCAGGATCAGAGGTGGGACTTCTTGGTTGTAAAAAGTGTAAACATGTGCCTGCGTGTTGTCAGAGTTCTGATTGCCCCTCAGACCCAAGTTCCTGTTCATTTGGAATTTTCAAGGCAAAAGTGATTGTTACTATTTCTAAACATAGATATATTTATATAATTGGTGAACTGGTACATATTTATGTAACTGGGGAATGGGTTTTGATTCTTTGAAGAGCAGCTTGATGTCTTTGGCAGCTGTAACCTAAACTGGTGTCTCTGCTTTGGGCTGTTAATAGTAATGGTGAGGAAAGCTGGGTAGATACTATTGAGAGATAAAAGGTGGTGTTTGGTGTTATTTTCTCTGCGTGTTGCCCTCCCCTTCCCCCAAATACTTTTGTTATTGTGGGAAAGAGCTGTAGTTTGTGTATAAAGTGTCTTCTACTACTTGTTGCTTAGGAACTGTGTCATCTCCATATTTTTTAATTATACTGGAGACCACCGGTCATAGAGAGCCAGCCTTAGAATCGTAGGTGAGGGGAGGAAGAAACAGCTGGGGTGGGTCCATCAGCCTTGCCTACCTGCCACTGTTTTGTGAAGCTGCAGTGAGGGAGCCTATCTGAAGATGCTCTGTGAAGTATAAAGCACTTCAGTTTGGTAGTACCTTTTGTTTAGTCTGGATTATAACACTTACTTGTAGCCCAGTTTAATTTAAACCAAGCATGTTGCTTAACCTGTGATTTGTATCTGGAGTGATCTCATGCTTTTCATGCTTTCCAGGAGAGAGAACTGCTGAAGCATCTCCATTAGATTCTCGCTTCTCTGCTTTAACTCTTCCAGGGACTGCCCTCCATTGGAGAAAGATTGTGTCCCAGAACACAAAAAATGACAGTTCAGGTTTAGAATTTGAGCTGCAGCACACAGTTAAAGAAAAGTGACTGGAGCCACTCTGTATAAGTTCAGATCCTTTGGCAGGTTACTTAAATTCTGAGAATCATTTTTCTCTTATAAAACTTAGAATAATATTAGTTAACTCATAGACCTGTTAGGGAGATTTAAAAAATTCTTGACAAGTAAAATTAAATATGTATTGGTGGTATTGGTGTTAATCGATTAATTCCACATGGTTGCTTATTGGGTTTTTTTTTTTGAAACCTGTATGCATTGTTGCAGATTTCAAGACTGCTTTTGATGAAGTAGGATCTTATCTTCCATAGTTAGAAGTCAGCTTGAGTCACTGCTTCCAAGAAAAGCAGTGACTGGTGTTTCTGTTTCCTGGTCATGCGTTTGCCTCATGACTGGCAAAACTTCATAATTCTGAATGAGCTTGAATTTAAACATGAGATTCCGAAGCATCGTTGTCATGGAGGTGAGAAGTTCAAAGGAGATGCAAATCTTGTTCAGAAAGTAAAGAGAATTTCAGAACCTGAAGCATTTTACTGATGCTACATTTTATTCAAAACAGAGTTGTCTGTAAACAAAACTAGATTCTCCCACTCCCAGTGGCCCACTCCCTCCTGCCGTTTCCAACTGTTTAGGTAAAGATTCTGAAAAGGTCTGTGTTTCTGTCGTTTTAAAAACTGGGTTCTAAGAAAACGTTTCTAACGAGCTCACTTTGCATATCCTCATAGCAGTTTTATGAAGTCATTGAAAAATAGTGTTTAAATCCTTTTAAAATAAAAACAATAAAAAATTGTTTTGGGGTAGGGGTTATTTTTAAGAGTATTAGATTATTTTAAAACAGTGGGGAGGATTATCATAAAAGTAGCAGAAAATATGACACCGAAGGTCTTTCAGATAATCCTGAGGGATGATTAATTCTTTTACGTTACCATCCCTGTAAGTAATTTAACTTTTTGAATTTGTGACTTGCCTTTTATCTAAGGTTAAAAAACAAAAGAGTCATTTAGGGTCTTCTGTTGAGATCGTTACAACTACAAATGCATTCAAGCAAATATTTGGTGTCAGGATTTAAGCAGCCTGAATATGAAAGACGAGGGCTCCTGATAGTGCTTGCCTGCTCTGTGTGTCCCGGTGTTTCTACCAGGGCACGTGCTTCCTGGCTAAAGGAATTGTGTTTTTAAATGCTGAGCCCTTTTAAGTGGACAGACTGGTTATTAAATGGTTCCTTCATTCTTGGGAGTCTGTGTTCATGCCAGAAATTTCTATCCAGGGCCTCATAAGAAATCAAACAAGTGAGAAATTCCCAATTGGTTGACAGCTTCTTATAAATTATTTTAGGCCTTTGTAAGCATTTATTTCATTTTTTCCCCAGCTTTTCTGATTATGAAATTTAGCTAATTCTGATATTGTTAGAATTGCTTTCCTGAGTGTTCAGATTTATACCCTATAACCACTGATCCCACTTGGCACGTATGCAGGTGTGATACGGTTCAAGGATAGCTACCTCCTTTCTCGAACGATGGATTTGGGCAGTTTGTTGCTAGGGCATAGTTTGCAGTAGAAGATTAAGTCTTCATGCTGACGGTTACATCTGACTTTTAAAAAGGATGCTTATCTTTTAAAATTTTTGTTTATTTTTTAATGAAGTATAATCAGTTTACAGTGTTGTGTCCATTGCTGGTGTACAGCATAATGTTTCGGTCATCCATATACACATACTTCTTTTCGTATTTTTCACCATAGATTACTGCAAGATACTGATTATAGTTCCCTGTGCTCTGCAGTAGAAACTTGTTAATCTATTTTATATGTAGTAGTATCTGCAAATCTTGAACTCCCGATGTATCCCTTCCCACCCCTTCCCCCACCCCCACCCCTCCGCCCCGGTAAGTTTGTTTTCTACGTCTGTGATCTGTTTCTGTTTTGTAAATACGTTCTTTTCTGTCTTCTGGTTCTTTCCTTAGAGTCCACATGTAAGTGATGCCATACATCAGTTTACTCAGGGCTTTTTGTCTTATCAGACTGCATTCTCCAGGTTTCCTCTGTCAGTTTTGTCACTCCTGAAAGGGTTCCTTTCCCCTCCCGTCTGCTTTGTGAAGTGCTCCCTTTTCTAGAAAGCCTTTTCTTTTCGCAGTCAGAGCTGCCACAGGTTCTCCTGGTGCTCCCAGACTCTGCACACCTGTTAGAGCCCTTACTCCCCCTGCTGCCTGTTAACTGTGCGCTCCTGTGGGAGCTCGCCCCCTGTGCCTTTGCTTTTGTATCCTGGGTTCTTGAAACAATGTGATTTATAGTGAAGATCCAAAATATTTTGGTTTGGATAAAGGGGGATTATGAAAAGTTGTACAGACACAGGCGTATTTTGTAAATTCAGTGGAAAATCCGTAACTGTTTGAGTGCTCCATACAATAATAGGCGTGGCGAAGCGGAGAGAGGCTTGTTGCGACCCCGAGACGACCGAGGCCGTGGTTCTGTGTGACTGGAGCTGACTCTCCTGTGTTCCTTTCCAGCGTACAGGACAGTGTCAGGAGTCAACGGCCCACTGGTAATCTTAGATCATGTTAAGGTAATACCACGATCGTTACTGTCTAACCATTTATGAAGTTTTAAAAGCATGGTGTTAAGTACTGTTTAGTACACTCTAAATTTTTTGTTACGATTTTTAAGCCATTTCTTGGTCCCAGTGTCAGTACTGCATAGGAGACAAGAATTTTAAAGGCTAGAAGACTGGATTCCAGTACTGGATCTGCTGCGGATTCTCTTTTAGCCTTGAGTCCCTCACCTGCAAAATTAAATGTAAAATTTGTTTGTTTTTTAATCCTTCCTCATAGGTTTATTAGGAAAACAACAATAATATTTATGAATGTGCTTAATGACTTGTAGGAATTTGTAAAATTCCTGTGGTGTGTGGCTCTTGTCAGAGGCTGCCTTGTGTTACAACTGTTTGTTTTGTCTTCTCTATTAAATTTCGTGGTCTTTGAGTGAATAAGCAATGTTACTTTTATCTGTGAGGGCCTGATACTGGTATTCAAGTCATGAATAAGCAACAGATTATCTCAACAGTGACTAAAACCATAAAGCAAAGAATCATTTTTACTTACTCAGTTTGTCGCAACTCTTTAGTTACATGCTGCTTTTTTAGCCACACCTGTATGTAAGAATTATAAATGCCATTAGTGTTACCTTAGAGAAAGAGGCATAGAACACACTCTGTAATTGAGTTCCCTGGGTGAAGCCTCCTGCCTGAGCTCTGTGATCAGAGTATCTTCAGAGGAAATAGTTCATATAATGTGCTCTCTAGGACAGCAGTTCTGCATCGGTGGCTGTTGAGGGTAGATCAGGAGGAAAGGTGCACAGTTAACAATTTGTTGAGAGAAGTAATGATGGAAGTACATTTGGCATGTGGCCCCTCTGGAAGCAGGAAATAAAGTTTCTTAAAAGAAAGGGCAGAGCACATTGTGTCTTCAGCTTTATCACTGAGATGGTATTTTTGTGCGTGACAGGGTACCTATACAAATTGTTCTCCACGTGAAGGATACAGCTTACCCCTGGCTACGGCTTCATACTAGTCTGCAGTTTGATTCAGAGCCTCAGCATATACCACTTCAGTTGCACAGGTCTAGGCAGGCGCCTGTTAATGTTTTGTGAAAGGACTGAGTGTACATCTTTATTTTTCAAGGAAACTATGGGAAGCTTTGTTTATTTCTTTGTTCTGTTTTTCTTTTTTATATACTCTTTATTAGATACAATTTTTGGCTGATATTTTTAAAATATGAAACTTTTATATTGATAAATACATATTTGAAAAACAGTTAAAATTATTCATGTTTCTGCTATGATAAGCATTGAGCTCAACACCAAAATATACACTACAAACACATAAATGTCTAATTCATAAGTGCTGTGCGGGTGAGTGCAGGATGCTGTGAAAATCAGTAACAGGGAGGACTAAGAAAACAGGAAAAAGTTTTATTGAATGCTTTGAGTACAGTTCCAGCTGAGGAAAAACTGGTAAATAAAGTTTTATGTAGTTGTAAGAATGGCTTTCTACTGCCAGATTGAGTGATTTTTTTTTTTTTTTTGGTTTTAGTTTTTGGCTTTTGTTTTTAACTTAAAACATACACATAAGATCACGGAACAGATAATGTTATACAGAATAGAAGGAGATGGAGACTGCTGTCCGCCAGTTTGTGAAGGTGGCACACCTGAGATTCTCAAACCAGACAAAGGGTCGTAGCAGGAAAGGAACAGGGGAGCAGTTCTCACTTAGAAGCACCGATTCCAAAATCCTTCATAAAATGTACTCGTGTGTTGGATATTAGCAAAAAATATATTAGAAACTCAACAGAATTATGACCAAGTAGAATTTATTCCTGTAATACAAAGATGATTTGAAATTAGAAAATGTCAAAATAGTTTAGGTCATTCATAGATTATTAAACTGGAAGAAGTTTATGCTCTTCTCAATAAATACAGGAAAAAAATCTTAAAAAAAATAAAAGAACGTCTTTGAAATAAGGAATAGAACAAACTTTTAAAACCTCTTAAAGCATACCCATCGTATCCTACAGCAAACAGCACACTTAAGGAGCAACTGGAAACATTCCCATTTAAATCAGAACAAGATGAGGGTGCCTGCTGTCAGCACCGCTATCACACTTTGTGCTTGGACCCTAACCAGTGCTGTGGGGAAAAGAAATTGGGGCATAAAGAGATTAAAAAGGAGAAGGCACAGCTCTCACCATTTCTTGGCAACGTGATGAACTAAGCGGAAAACACAAGCCATTTGGTGGACAAACTGTTAGAAACGATGCCGTAAAGCAGTGCTGCTGGGTCCAAGGGTCAGTCTACATACAAATAACACCCCTTTATCAGTGACGTATAAAATGCCGGAAGTCGTTACAGTTGGTAACTTTCTATAGAAAACTGTAGAACTTTCTCGAAGAACGTAAAAGAAGACAGAGTAAGAAGAGAGTCCGTGTTCATGAATGAAAAGGCTCAGAACAGGAAAGATGTTGATTCTCCCCAGGAAGCAAAAGAAGTTAGAGGTAGAACAGTTAAGAGTAAAGATTTGGTCTTGTAATAAGCAGATACTTCAGTGGAGCAAAATTAAGATTCTTGAAACCAGTTCTGCTTACACCTGAGAATTTGACTTGGTAAATGATAAAGGCTACATTAGCAGGTCAGTGGGGGACATTTTTTGCTGCACAGTAAATATTATTGGGACATTTGTCTTCCTATGTGAAAAAAATAAAACGTGGAAAACCTAGAAGACAATATAGAAGGCCATTTTTATGACTTCAGATTGGAAGGTTGTCCTACACAAGGCATAAAAAACATAAATCATAAAGGAAAATAAAAATTACAAAAATTACAAAAATTCTTTCTGATAAGATGTCATAAACAAAAGACAAGAAATGGAGGAGCAGATGAATTTTCAAAAGGATTAATACTCAGTCTATGAAACTTATGTAAAAATAAGAAAAAGCAGACCCAGTTGAAAAGTGAGGGAAAAAATATTAATAAGCCAATTATAGGAAATAAAGTCTAATTGTGAGGAAACATGAGAAGATGCTCAATATTGGTAGAATCAGGAAAATGCAGATTGAAAGATACTATTTTTTACTGTATCAAAATGGCAGAAATTAAAGTTTAATAATATAAGGTTGGCAAAGATGTAGGGAAATGAGGCTTTTCTGTACTATTAGGGAGACTGTAAAGTGACAGTTCCTTTGCAGAGTAATTTTGCAGAGAACGAGCACACCCTAGAGCCCACCGCTAGATGACCAGGTACCTCAGGGAAGCTGGGGTCCACCTGTGTGAGGAGCCACACGTGAGAATGTTCACTGCAGCTTGTTCGCAACAGTGTGAATCTGGAACAGCCTTGAACACCAGTGGTGGAAGAGCACCTAAGTAAAATGTAGCGTTACTTGATTTTATTTTAGCTATGTCTATGCCAACATTACTCCTAAAACTCCCATTTATTCACATTAGTGTTTCCAAAATCAAGTGTCGTAGAGTCAGTGTTGCATCACAGATGCGCTGACAGACGTTGTCCTTCACATCACATAAAACAGTGATGCATCTTTCAAAAGACTGTATTAATAAAGGAAGGGAAATATTACCATGACAGATCCAGAACATGAGGTCAGGTCGGGGGAAGAAAACCAAGGTGTAGGATGGTACGTCTATATGTTGCTATTTAGGTAAATAAAACACTACAATGTATTTTTGGAAACATGCCATTTAAAATATTAAAAACGGGTCAGAGGAATACATATCTGTTAGGAGAATCAGATTGAGATGGGAATGTTAGCATTATTTATTACAACAGCAATTTTTTACTATTTAGTTGCCTTTTATTCCTGTCCTCCCAAGGTGATTACACAGCCCAGAAGCAGACATCATTTCTGAGTAGTGGGAACATGGTTTCTTGTCAGTTTTGTATCTTTCTATAGTCTCAAAACTTAAGAACATATACACAGAGGGAAAAAATTAAATTGCTGGGTTTTCATTGACTTAAGAGCCTTCTCTCTGTATGTACCTTATGCTGTGTTTGTCAGTGTATGTGCCAGCGATGAGTGTTTTAAGGACCTAACCTACCTGAGGACAGTCTGAACCCTTGGCATGTGCCTGTGTGTTGGGGGTGGGAGGAGGAGGGATTGCACAGGCGTGGTGCTGTGATGTAGGTAGAGCAGATGGAGTATTCTGATGCGCTTTTAGGATGTCGGTTAACGGGCCTTTCCTTTTTCCTGTTTAGTTTCCCAGATATTCTGAGATTGTGCACTTGACACTGCCTGATGGCACAAAGAGAAGTGGGCAGGTTCTGGAAGTTAGTGGTTCCAAAGCAGTGGTTCAGGTAAGCACCACTTTCAGAACCTGGGCAGCTGAACTATTTTCTGATCACAAAACCACGGAAGAAGCACCGATAGTTTTTTCTAGTCATTATCACGTAACTAACTATATACAGATCTTTCTCGATTTACAGGTGGGGTCATGTTGTAATTAATCCATCATAGGTTGAAAGTGCATTTAGCAGACTGAACCTGCCGAACGTTACAGCTTAGCTTACATTGAAGGTGCGCAGAACAATTACGCTAGCATACAGTGGTGTGAAATCATCTAACCCAGGGCCTGTTTTATAATAAAGTGTTGAATCTCTCATGTGACTTACTGTGCTGTATACTGTGCTGCACTGCAAGTGAGAAACAGAGTGGCGGTCTGGGCACAGAATGGTTGTAGGTGTGTCATTGTTCCCGCCCGTGATGTCGTGGCTGACTGGGAGCTGCGGCCCTGCTGCCACCAGCATCACAGAGAGTGTCATACCGCGTGGCGCTAGCCCAGGAAGCGGTCAGCATTCAAAATTCCAAGTACGGTTTCTCCCCCGTGCGTGTTAGTTTCACACCATCATGAGCCAGGGAGCCTCTGTGTCTCTAGAGATTGATTACTGGCCGAAGGGAAGAAAATTATTTCTGCATGTTTTCTTGCCAAATGTCAGCCACCTATATCCATTCTAGCCCAATAGCTCCACTGGTAAAATGGCTTTTTTCTTTTTAATGGATAAAATGAAACAGACGATAACATCGAAGGAGCAAGATGAAAAGCAGAGTTCACAGGTTATGGGATGAAACCAAAACAAGATCTGAGTTTGTTTCTTTAAATTGTCTCCGAGAATTCCTAGTTTTTAATGTTACTGATTATTGCAAATGCCAGTTTTTTCAAAAAATTCAGCAAAATTTCTGTAACGGGCCAGATACTAAGTTGTTTAGGCTTCGTAGGGTTACCTAAGGTCTCTGATACGTGTTCTTATGCTTTATTTTCCTTCTTTCTTTTTTTTTTTAAAGAACTCTTTGAAAATGTAAAAAATGATCTTAGCGTGCTTGATGGATTTGGCCTGCAGGCCTGGCTCTGGTTAAGAGGTTGAACTTGGTTCCTCATTCACCACTTTCATTCGTGGTGGTTAAAAATGGTATACATTTGTGTATTTTACTTTATAAGGGCTGTTTAACAGACAGATAAACTTTAAGTGCTTATGATCTAAGTTTCTTGCACCCTTCTGTTCACTGTACTTTCTTGACAGGTATTTGAAGGGACCTCAGGCATAGATGCCAAGAAAACGTCCTGTGAGTTTACTGGGGATATTCTCCGAACACCGGTGTCTGAGGATATGCTTGGTAAATGGATATTATTATTCACTATGCGCAGAGATCTGTTTCCTTTTTGACGTATTTCCATGAAGTCTTTTAAAAACTGAAAATATTTGAGTCATTGTCCACTCTGTGGTGTTACTGTTTGACAGGCCGAGTATTCAATGGATCAGGAAAACCCATCGACAGAGGTCCTGTTGTGCTGGCGGAGGACTTCCTTGACATCATGGGTAGGGGCAAGCAAATGGATTTTGGTGTTTGGGGCAAGCAGCATCTGTCTGTCTTAGACCTTTGCCAGATGAAGAGCGATTTTTGTGATACTTCAAGTAGATGACAGCATACTCCATAATTAAAGCACTTAATTAATTTGTTCATTAATTTGTTCATTAATAATTTGTCTGTTATTTAATACATTTATTTTTACCTAGAGATCATCTTAAAATTTTATGTAAAATACCTTAAGATATCGTAAGATATCACTAGTTTGTACCTGAAAGGTAAATAGTAAAGCCGTGATGGCTTTGAAGTTAGGATTTTATTCTTACTTGCTATACCTTACATTTCACTTTACTACTATAAAAAATTAATGGAAGAAAATACAGTTTCAGATTTCAAAAATAACTGGTTTTTTAAGAGTAGAAAGAAATACTTTATATGGTTGTAGTCTTAATGTACAGACATATTAAAATTTTCCCTTTTGGAAATGCATTAGGCCAGCCAATCAATCCTCAGTGTCGGATCTACCCAGAGGAGATGATTCAGACCGGCATTTCGGCCATAGATGGCATGAACAGCATTGCTCGGGGGCAGAAAATTCCTATCTTCTCGGCTGCTGGCTTACCGCACAATGAGGTGAGGACTAGGGTCTGTTTGGTATGAAATGTAAGAAGGCAGAATTTCCAAATGCTTCGCTGTTAGTGAGAAACCAAATAAAGGGTTTTCAAAGTAAATACCCAATGTTATTGTTCATATATTCCAATTACATTGAATTTTTATCCTCGCATATCTGGCTTCTTGCTTACTCTTATGAATCTTTGCGAAAATAACCAAGTGTTTTTGTTGGGTAAAGCCCTTTAAGACATCCCATTTCATTTATGATTACATTTCCCAAAAGTTTAGGGTAAAAGGTATTTTGTTGTGGAAATGTTAGTTGAGATTTCAACTAATTTCTTCTGTATTCCTCATCAGATTGCAGCTCAAATCTGTCGCCAGGCTGGTTTGGTAAAAAAATCTAAAGATGTAGTGGACTACAGTGAGGAAAATTTTGCGATCGTGTTTGCTGCTATGGGTGTAAGTAAAACGTTTTCTGTTTTAGTGTGAACTGTGAAATCACCTGTTGTTAGAACAGTGTAGAAAAGTACACATACATGTCACTGAATTTACCTCTGCGTAGAGAAGATGCAGCTTGGTTCTTCGGGCAAGCTAGGGATGAATATTCAGCATTTGACTGGAATGCAAGAGTCATTCTCTTTGTGCCCAAAGCAGACAGTTCACTCTGTTGGCTTTTGCAAACACTTCTTGGGTACTGGGAACCGTAGAAGAAGGAAGAGTGCAAATCTAAAGCTTGGCCTGCATCAGAAGTAAATATTGAGAGTTTTTCTCTTCCCAGGACTGACGAAGTCGTTGCCTTTTAGGTAAACATGGAAACCGCCCGCTTCTTCAAATCCGACTTTGAAGAAAATGGCTCAATGGACAATGTGTGCCTCTTCTTGAATTTGGCTAATGACCCAACGTAAGTGAACAAGTAGAGCCGTTTCCCTCGGTTCACGCGGGCTTCTGGTCACGAACGGCACCTCAGACTAGGCGTAGTGACAGCGTTGCGGTGGAAGCAGCGTGGGCTGGGAAGGAGGTAACCGAGTTTAAGTGCCAGCCCTGCTTCCTGCAAGTTACTGGGTTTTGGGCAAGTCACGTAGGCTCTGAAGCTTAGTTTCTTCTTTCCTAAAGTGCCGTAAATAATACTTGTCTCGCAGGGTTGTTGCACGTACTAAATGAGATAATAGTGTAAACTACCCAGCTCCCAGTCCATGCTCAGTCAGTGGTCTTCTGCCTGCCAAACCTGATCCCTGTTTCTTGCCTCCCTTTCTCCTCCTCTCTCTGTCTCAGTTTTGAAAACTGTATAGTTCTGAGAAATTATGGGGCATTTATAAGATAATCAGTTTAACTATAACAACAAGTAATTCTTACTGTGTAAATACATAAGATAACTCTGCCTTTCTTAAAAACTTGTAAAGTAATCATTGCCCAGCCCTTCTCAGTTTATGTAAAACTTTAAAAGGGAGGCTGTGAGACTGTCCTGTTATTTCCAGAATCGTTCTCTTTTGTTTTTGGCCTTTTTGTTTGAGTGACAGAGGACTTGATGTTTCATTTCAGTATTGAGCGAATTATCACTCCCCGCTTGGCTCTAACCACGGCCGAGTTCCTGGCCTATCAATGTGAGAAACATGTATTGGTTATCCTAACAGACATGAGTTCTTACGCTGAAGCACTTCGAGAGGTAATTTTTTTCTCAGTTAAAATGAATTAATTTTCAGGGTTATCTTGTCCCTTTGCAAGTTTTCACTTTTTTAAATCATGGTTTTTTTAAATTCATTGCTCTTATATTAGTAGAATACCTTAATTAATCAGAAAAGAAAATACAATTTCTGTCAACCCAGTTGAAATGATTAGAGGAGGAGATTTAAACCATTAGCCTACTTACCGTACTGTCACTGTCTCCACTGGTTACGACTTGATTCTAAGAGTGAAGGATGCCAGCTGTTACGTCAGTTACTCTCCCAGGAAGTCCTCTCTCTGTGCAGACTGTCAATTTTTAGCCCTTTCCAAGAATTTCATTTTTAATGATGTAAATCTTTATTTATTTACAAAAAGACTGTACTCTGGCAGAACCCTCTTCAGAACTTTTTTTCCTTCAGAAAATTCAGTGTTTTTTTTTAGAAACAGCATGAAGATTCTCGCAATTCCCATCCAGGACTATGGGGTGTTTTTCTCATGCAAGTTACTGAAATTTTGAGTGAGTTGCTCTTTTAAGTGTGTAAAAAAAGGGAGAAAGACTTCTGAAAAAACATGCTGTATAAATATCTGGCTTCTAAAAACTCCCTAAGATATCCATCACTGCATCTCACTCTGCTACAGTGCTTTTTCACTGCCCCCCGTCCATCACTATCCCTTTTCCAAAATGCAGTAAAAATAAGTGTTAGAAAAGTGAAAATTTTAAAGAGATACACAATTTTAAGCCTCCTATTATTATTATTATTATTATTATTATTATTATTATTAGATTCATCAGACATAGTTATTCTGTCAGATTGCCACTGAAGTTTCTATATGTTTACCTTGCTTTCTGCGTTGTCTCCTCACACACTGATAAAAGCTGGTCTGCAGACCATGCTTTCTGTCGCACTGCGGGAGTGCGCTCTTGGAGGTGCAGGGTCGGGCTTCATGCATTAGGGTTCTCGGTGGTTGTGGATTAATATGTGTGTCTGTATCCTAGTGTGCACGTCTCTAAGAGATCATTTATTACTATTTTTATTTTGTGCAGTGATCTAAGGAGACTTTATTTGGCCCTTGATTCCAACTGGGAACTGGGGTTAATAATGTAACTTCCTCGTAGGGTCGTTGTGAAGATTAAATGAAATAACGTATGTAAAGTGCATCAAACACTTTCTGATACATTTCCTTCCCTTTTGATCTTTCCAGGGTTAGTTTATGTAAATCTGGCTAGATCCGTAGTGTGAAATGAATCTTGTCAACTAAGTGTTTTCTGTTAGTTTTAAAATGGACTAGCTCTGACTTACAAATTGCAAGCAGGTTTTCTTCCAGCAGGCTGTTTGAAGATCTATGTTATGGCAGTATGGTTTTAGCGAGAAAGCTTCTAGTCCCCAGTTGTCAACATTTTTGTTACAGGATAATCTGAATTTGTGTTGCTAGATTTTTCTAAATCATCTCTCAGAGACGGTGTTTGAAATGAACAAGATGCTATTTCCAAGCTTGTAATTCGGCACAGATGTGTCCTAAGCAAGCTTGAGTTCTCGTTCTCTGGCATGTGACGCAATCCTCCTTGGTTTACTGCCAGGTTTCAGCCGCCAGGGAGGAGGTTCCCGGTCGACGTGGTTTCCCAGGTTACATGTATACAGATTTAGCCACTCTGTATGAACGTGCTGGTCGAGTGGAAGGTAGAAATGGCTCAATTACTCAAATTCCTATTCTCACCATGCCTAACGATGGTAAGTTTTGGGTCTTTGGATTATGGAAGAACTAATCCTTGTAAGGACTTTGATTCTAAGAAGACCATTATCTTTTTAAGTTGAAATTCTTTTGAGAGTTTATCCTCCATGAGTTTACCTTACCTAGGGATTTATGCCTACGTAAAATTCTTCATTTCAAAACTACCCATAATTATTATTACTTTATAGAAAATTTTTCTCGTAATTTTAATTTTTTATTTTCGTTTATGACCAGTATTTAGTGTCTGCTGTTTGTAGGACACTGGTATGGATATAAGGAATTTTTAAATAATTGATGGGCTCTACTTAACGTAAGTTACTGCTTCTAGTCAGGTATTTTTTATGTATGTGCGCCGGTAATTTAAGGTTGCTTCAGTGCCAGATGAAGAGCACAGGTAGTGAATGCCACAAGACTCCAGAGACGGAATGATCGCCAGTGGCTTGGCAAAAATTAGGTCATTTTACCATGTGTATCAAAGCGTACGGTGTGGTGCCTGCCTGCGGGTATGCCCAGCGGCTCCCAGTGAGGCTTTCGCCATTCCCGTTGCCCGCACGTCTTTCCATCCTTGCCTCAGTTTGTTTGTTTTTATTGAAGTTACAGTGTGTTGATTTCTGGTGTACAGGGTAATCTCCCAGTCATGCATATACACACAGATGCTCATTTTCATATTCTTCATTAAAGACTATTGTAAGTTATTGAATACAGTTTCCTGTGCTATACAGAAGTTTGTTTTTAATCTATTTTTATGTATATTGATTAACATTTGCAAATCTCAAACACCCAGACTTATCCCCACCCACTCGCCCCCCAGTAGGATTATTTACTGTGTCTGTGAGTCTGTTTCTGCTTTGTAGGTGAATTCGTTAGTTTTTTAAAAGCTCTTTTACAAAATATTTTCAGAAACAGTACTGACTCACTTGATCTTCACAGCGACTTTGGGGTGGATGCTCCCATGTGAGGCGCAGGGAGGTGAAGTGATCTGTCACAGTTAGATGTGGCAGCTTTAGAGCCCAGGCGGTCTGAACACTGCCTCTGACGTGACAGTGCTTTGTGCCGAGGAAGTAGCTACACAGTCGCTTTACGTAATTTCACAGACTTGTTCAGTGCTGCCTGCGCAGTGTCGCTTTACTGGTTGGCCCAGCCTCTGTATTTTCCATATTGAAATGTTGTATGACCGTCTGAGATCGCACTCAGTATGCATCACATTGGCAAGTCTCTGCAGGGGCACTTTTATGTTTAAAATGGAATTGGGAGAGATCACAGAACTGGGAGAAACAGTGCTTTTCATGAGTGCAGCTAGTGTAACTTCTGTCAGCACGTCTGACTCTGCTGCAGCCAGGTAGACTGTCCAGTGCAGTAACCTCTAGCCACGCTTGGCTGTTTAAGCTCTAAAGTTTATTGAGATTGAATAAAGTTTGACATAAAGGGTTTCAGTCACATTAGCCACGCTTCATGTATTTAACAGCCACATTTGACTGGTGGCTACCATGTTGGAGAACGTAAAGAACTTTCCCATCATCACAGAAAGGTACTTTTTTATCTAGCGCTGTTTTAAGTGATGCAGAGTGGCTGCCTGTGGGTTTGTTCGTGCTGACGGACACTGTAACTGACATGGGCTGTCTCCCCCGGTAGATATCACTCACCCCATCCCTGACCTGACTGGATACATCACAGAGGGGCAGATCTACGTGGACAGACAGCTGCACAACAGACAGGTATCTGACGTCTGAGCGACACTGCAAGCCTACAGATCCGTCTTTCAGCTACGTTTTAGTGATTTTGACTTTGCTCTTGGGAATTGTTCTCTGGAGAAAATATCAACTCGAATTGTTTCTAATGTGTATGTTAAAGTGTCCCTTACGCAACACCAAAATCCTGGTGTGGGTGAGTGTGGCAGGACCAGGAATTAAATTGCCGCTTTCCTTATTATGTCCTAAAACAGGGCCACTTGTCTGAGAACTTCTGAGGGGTCTTCTGCTCCACGGCGGTGTGATCTACCAGTCTTGTTAATATGAAAACATTCTTTTTACTTTAAAATTTTTTTTAATTGAGGTGTGACCGGCATAACATTATATGAGCTGGAGGTGTGTTTGTGTCTGTTGCAAAATGGTCGCCACAGTCAGTGCAGCTCCCGTTCATCTCCCCAGAGTTACAGAGCGTTTTTCTTTCTTGTGGTGAGAACTTTGAAGGTCTCCTCTTCCAGCCACCTTCAAACATGGAGTGTTAAATAGTCACCGAGCTGAACACTGCATCCCCATGCTTACTCGTTTATAACTGGAAGTTTGTACCTTGAGCCCCTCACCCATCTTGCCCACCCCTCATCCCCTGCCTTACGCAACCACCAGTCTGTTCTGCATCCATGAGCTCGACTTTTTTTTGTTTTTTTTAGAATCCATGTACGTGAAATTACACAGTATTTATCTTTTTCTGTCTGACTTCCTTCAGTTAGCCTAGTGCCCTCACGGTCTATCCATATTGTTGCAAATGGCAAGGTTTCATTCTTTTCTACGGCTGAATAATCAAAACCAGATTTTTGATTGGTTCCACCACAGATGCCAGCTTCTAATACCAGCTTTTAGGTGGAATTGTGAATTTTTTGTGTGTGATTTTATGATTCAGAGTTTAGAAGACCATTTAGATTTGATAGTGTAGGCAGATACTGAAAATTCAGTTTTTTAATTTAATCTGGTACTGTTTTGTAGATTTTGATTTTTGGATTTGATTCTCGAAATCTCAAGCCATGACATATTTCCTAAGCGTCCTCGTCTTCCCAGGGAGACACTCACACTTACACAGGAAACATGTGCGGTGGTTTTATGCATTCTGAGCAATGGTCACGAGTTTCAGAATTCTCCTTTATTACCAGGAAGGGCTGGGTTTTGTACCTGACTGTAGTATCTCCCCCTTCCCGTTCTACCCAAGATCTACCCGCCCATCAACGTGCTGCCCTCGTTGTCGCGGTTAATGAAGTCTGCGATTGGTGAAGGCATGACCAGGAAGGATCACGCTGATGTGTCGAACCAGCTGGTACGTAGGTTCTCTCAGGGCTGGTGTTTCAAGCCCTCAGTGCTTCCTTGGCTCATTCTCCCTGCTGTCTTACACTGCTTGTCTCTCTCCCGTCGAAGTGGAATTTTAATAAAGAATATTGGGATATAGAATATAACATAGAATAGTGGAATACAGGACATTCATTAGAGCCAAGCAGTCTTCATAAGGATGAATGAACTACGTCCGATGCTATGTAAGGTCGTTTTTAAATAACAAACCAAGGCATGAGGCCGTTACAAGTTTTTATTAGCAACCTTAATTGTAATTACAGAGTATTTCTGGAAGTATATTCTGAAGGGATAGCCTAACTTATTTTCTGTTTGACATACAAGGTGGCCACCAGAATACTAAGGGGCACGGTTTTATCTAGTCTAGGGAACCCTTGGTTTCTGTAGCCCTGAGGTCGTACCCTAGGCACAATTAAAGGAAAGTACACTTGATCTTGAAGTAGGAGCGATCGACCTGCCGGCCTATCACAAATATGCTTCTTGAATAGAATTTAGAGATGAGTTTCTCTCACGGTGTGAGCCGTGAGTTTCAAACGCTCTGAACCAGATAGGCCCTGACGCTGAGGGAGCGCGCTGTCTGCAGTGTCAGCAGTGCTTGTGCATCGCGTGCCTGAGGACTCCTTTCCGAGTGAGGCTGCTGTGCGCGGAAGTCCTTCTGGCACTCGCGTACGCGCCATACGGGAATTGTGTCTGGAAACACGTGGCATTGTGTGACGTCCTCTGAAGGCGGCCACAGCAGGGCACTTCGGCAGTCCGGTCACCGTCAGCGCGCGCGAAGCCCGCCCTCTGCTCACGGAGGCTTCTGCTCTCCCCAGTACGCGTGCTACGCCATCGGCAAGGACGTGCAGGCCATGAAGGCCGTGGTCGGGGAAGAAGCCCTCACCTCGGATGACCTCCTGTACCTGGAGTTCCTGCAGAAGTTTGAGAGGAACTTCATCGCTCAGGGTAAGCGCCCGGCCCCGTGAGCACGGGCAGCGCCGTGGGGTGTGCGCTGCGCGGGCCTCCTTCCTGGCCCGAGGCTTGCGCTCTGCGTGGGCTTCCTTCTGAGGGGAGCAGAGGTTCTCCAGCCTCCTGCGTGTCTTCGTGCTTAGCCCTCCGGCTGCTTCCCTCTGCCTTCAGCCCCACGTGCTGTCTTTCCGCTCCCGTCCTGTTCTTCCCCTTCCTTACAAGCGGCCTCCTGCTCTGCTGCCTCCATGCCCCCTCTGCCTCCCCTCGGCCATCCCGCAGCGCCGCCCTCCGGCCCGGGGGCCGGGGCTCTTCTCTTCCTCCGTGTTGCCTTCTTCCTGCTGCTTAGTTGCTCCTGTTCCTGAAGGCTGAGCTGCCTGTTCCTTCTGGGCCTTTCCTGTCCCTGGCTGTGCCTTTCCCCCTGCTGTTGACTAACTTGCTACCTGTGAGCCTTTATCCTCGTTCTGAAGCTCTCCTCCCACACCTCCAGCTGGGGCACCTGTGTATCTGCCACCACCCCTGAGGCTCAGCGGTGCGCACCGAAGGGCTTCCCGGGCTGACCAGTTGCTCAGCAGTCCCCTCTCCATGCCTGCCCCTGGCCTGGCTGTGGTCCTGGGTCGCCTGCCTGTGGGAGCTGGGTGTGATTCCTAACCTTCCTCCCATGCTCTCCGGCCATCGCATGTTTGCTGCTTCGCATTGTTCTCCTTTAAAACGTCTTACCCTGTCCTGTTTTCATTCCCATCACCGTTAGCTCGGGCCAGGGATGCTCAGAATTCAGTGCGCTTTTCAATCACCTGGGGATCTCGCTGAAATGCAGGTTCTGGCTCAGTAACTCTGGGGGGGCTGGGGGGGTTGCAAGTTCCTGGGCGATGAGGAAGCTGCTGGCCTTTCCCCAGCCGCCCCGGCTCTCTGTTCCATTGCCGAGTAATTTAGTGTTAATTTCACTGATTGTCGCTCCATGAAGGAGTTTACCATGGTTTTTATTACATCGCGTATGCCGCACTTTCATGCTGCTCTGATTGCTCTCTGTCCTGCCACCCCTGCTAAGGCTGGTAAAGTATTTTTTTTACCTCCATGGTACTTAGAGAAGATGTATTTATTGTGGAATAACGCATCAAGCTGCACTCTTAGGATTTGTGCACTTTTTAATTATGTAGGACATTTTTGAAATTAACATTAAAACCCCCAAAATATATGATTCGTGGATTTTCTTAAAAAACTTTTTTTTGCAGAACCGAATACCTTCAAAAGATAAAAATTACTCTGGTAGAGAAAAGAAAAGAACTGAAGACTTCAGCCAGTCTGATTTCTTAGTTAAAAAACGAGAATTATTTGCAGGATAAGGATGATTCTACTATTAAAAATAATAACAGTGACACCTTTGAAAGCTGCCGACCTATTCAGGTGCTTGATTGGCGTTTAGAGCCTCAGGCGTCCGCCTGGCCCCCTGCAGGGCGTCCTCTGTTCCCGGGAGCACTCCGGACAGAGCTCCGCCTGGGTCTCGTTTGCATTGCTCAGTGGAATGTGTTGAGAGCCTCCCCGGTTGTCAAAAGAGCTCCATACGCTCCCACTGCCCCTCTGTCTCTCTCTCACTGTCTGCCCTGGTTTCCACGTTCAGTAGCGTCCAGCCCCGGGAGACCTAACAGCTCCGTGTCTCTTCTCATTCATGCTGTGTGCTCACAGTGCTAGTCCCATGACAGGGCAAGCTGTGAGCAACACTGATAAACTGGAGGGAGGTGGCCTTCATTCATCCAGTCTCAATCTTTTGTAAGGTCCTTACGAAAACCGCACTGTCTATGAGACCCTGGACATCGGCTGGCAGCTGCTCCGAATCTTCCCCAAAGAGATGCTGAAGAGGATCCCGCAGAGCACGCTGAGCGAGTTCTACCCGCGAGACTCCGCCAAGCACTAGCCGCTGCCGCCCGGCTCAGCGCGCCTGTGAAGTGCTGGTTCTGTGCTCTCGGTTCCTTCTGCACACCCCTCCTTCCCCACCTCTGCGCTGGACTTCACTGTGTTACCCTGTAATTAAAAACGAAGACGAGGTAACATATCGTGCCAGTGTTGCAATGTTTTAAACTGCTAACAGACTTTAAAATATCCCCTGTTCAGAAAACCTGGATCTTCAGTGCTTAGTTTACAGCGGCTGAGGGCTGGGGGTGAGGGGTGCTCACGGACGTGTGTATTTGTTGTATATAGCGGTGTAGTTAGCTAGCTGCCCGGGGTCCTCGTTATCCGGGTCCCTCAGACCTCCCCTCCCCACCCCCTCGAGGAGATCGCTGTCCGAGTTACGATGCTCCGCTCCCCACGTCAGGGGCGGCGTAGGGTCTGAAAGAGGCTGCCTCTCAGAGCCGAGAGGCTTTCCTGAACGTTTGTCTTTAGACTTTGGTCTGCCTCTGGGTCCGTCTGCTGCTGCTCTAAGCAGATGGCTTTTGCTGTCCCCCTGCTCTTTCCTATTTAATGATAGATCAGAAAAGGAGGTTCCTTTTCCTCCCTGGTACGTGTGGGCTTCCACTCCCGTGTCTCGCTGGTCCCCTTCCCTCTGAGTGACACGGAATCGTGCAGCGTCTGCATGGCCAGCCTCAGTCTGGCGGCAGCGAGATGCCTTCTCCCGATGACGCTTACTGCGTTGCCACGCAGAGGAATCATACTTAAAATAATTCATAGAATTGTTTGGAAAGAATTGGGATACAGTTTTTAAGAAAAAGAAAAAGAAACCCCTGGATCCATTGCACATTTGGACATGCTAACAGTTGTCTGAAGTCTCTGCAGTGTTTACCAGCTGCGAAAGGCACGCTGCCGGGGAGAAAGCTCTTCTGTGGATGGATATTTTAAACTCTGTTAGATAGTCGCCTTTGGAAAATCCCCCATTTTTGGTCCTGCTTTCTGACCTATCTGCCTTTTCAGGGTAATCTTGTGGCACAAGTGATAGCATTTAAAAGCTTTAGCCTTTTAATTTCTCCTCCGTCCTGCTGCGAGCCCTGAGCTGTCCTCTATGCACTTCTGACGTGTCTCCTGTTTGGTCTCTCCTTTGTCACTTGGGTGCGATGGCAACTTCTCTGTGCATTCCATCTTTCAAGTTGTGTAAAGTTCTTCACTTTTCTCTCTGAGGGTGTAGGGGGAGGGGGGGAGTCAGCATGATTATATTTTAATGTAGAAAATGTGACCTGGATATAAAATGAAAATAAATATTAAATTAAATGGAAGTTACCTGAAGTGACTGTATCTTGTAATCAGAAAAGCAGTAGCAACAAGCAGGCGCGTGACATACAAGGCACCTCTTTGACTGACAGTTTTGAACATCATAACCGGTACTGTGAGTCGGCCCCTGTGCTACAGGGACGCGGCCCGGGGTTTGTACCCCTCTGTCTCTCAGGCTCCCCTTTCAAGCTCTTTTTGGTAACACCTCTTCCAGCAGACGGTAGTCTGATCCGAGGCTGAGAGCCGCGACAGGCGTCCTCTGGAGCCTGTCCCGATGGAGGGTAATAAACAGAAAATGAAGTACACGCTGAAGCAAGCCAACACTTGCTTTAAGTGAAATCTTACATAGCCGTGCAGTGTGTAAGGGAAACACAGCAGTCACAGCGCGAGGACGTGGTGTCCCGGAGGCCCCGGGTTGTCCACAGCAGCAGCTGGGGGACGCGGGGGCGGCCACGTGGCGGGAGGGCGGGAGCCCGAGCTCTGGCTGCCTCCGCCCTGCCGGCCAGCCCCTGCTTCGTCGCCAGCAGCTGTGGGTTCCTTTCCGGGGCCTGAGGACGCTGAGGCGGCTTTGACTTCGACTCTGCAACGCTCAGGGTTAGCTGCTTGCGGAGCACTCTTACTGGCTTGTCACTTAGTTTTTAAAGGTGAAAACCTTTTCTTAGTGTACCTTCCCGTACCAGTGCTGAGACTTCATTATAAGGCCAGTTAAAATCTTGCTTTAACATGGACTCTTGCAATGATTAAATTTAAAAAGTGTTCGAGTCAGTTGGCTTCAAGTATTTAGGAGGAGAAAGAGTCTCCGCAGCGCCGGCTCCTGAAGCGGTGACTGCTTGCAGTGGACCGTCACTTCGTAAGAATTCACGGAAGTGAAGAACTGCTTTCAGACTAAAGTGATAAATGCCTCACGAAGATGACTTATTCGCAGCAAGTGCGGGTGGCGCGAGGTGTGCGGGTCGGCAGGGCGCTGGCTGCTTCTGACGGTTCTGCCCCGCCGGCCACGGGAGGCCAGTGCTGGGCTAACGGGGGCAGCCCCAGGCCGCAGCGCGCGCGCGGAGGCTGCAAGGAACACTTAGCAGGGCAGGTCCTTGAAGGATGGTTATCTTTTATGGGAAAACTCAAGCACGAAGAAATGGTTTTGGTGGTTTGTTTTTAATCAAAGTCGTGTTCCTTGCTCAGCTGCCAACTGTGGCTTTATTCCAAACCGTTTTTCCAGACGAGCTGAGCGCCTGCCTGGCGCCCAGGCAGACTATGTGGTGTCCTCAGCTGCCCCCCCGCCCCCCGTACAAAGCCCACAGTGACAACAGTGAAGGGGCCTGATGCTTAGAAACAACGAGAAACCTCTTGCAGTGACTCCTCGGTCACGGAGCTCTGTGTCAGCACGAATGGCAAAGCCTGCCCAGAAGGCTTGGGCGTCCTGGGGACTGTCCATCCCACCCCTGGTCAGTCTGCCGGCTCCCCGTGGAGGGGAAGAGCAGCCTTCACCCGGGCTGTCCCCGAGGCTGCAGGCATAGAGGGACGGGGTCTGGGGTTGGCCGTCCCCCCCCCCAGTAGAGCTCAGGGTCCCCAGCCTTGAACAGAACAAAGGGCCATTTGCTGTGATTAGCCCGGTGAGTACACCCATGGCAGACCACTTTTCTCCAAAGGACAAACGTGATGACTCTGTGACGAGCTCAGCGTCAGGGAGGAGTGGCAGAACGTGGGCTAGAGCCTGGGTCCTGAGCCCTAATCTAGAGCGCTTTCCAGAGCCCGCTCAGCATGCAGAGGTCACTCCAGGCCGAAACAGGCATCCAAAACTGGCCACTCTGGAAAGCGGGCCTTCATGTTGTGGCTAAAGTTCCAGTGTTTTCTGGGACATAATGGGCAAAAGGACTTGATAGGCTGCAGCGAGAACTTCAGCGCTTACACCAGGAAGCTAATTTGGGGAGCGAGACAAGACAGCAGACGGGATGACGAGGGTCACTTCCACAGCCGCTGTATTCTGTGCTCCCACAAGGGGGCAGCAGCTCCCGCCCAGCCGCGCCCTGTCTGAGCGCCGAGCTCCGGGAAGGGAGACTTCACAGTCAAGGTTGGCTGAATCAAATGGGCTTCTTGTGGAACTGCCCGTTCGCCTGGGGGCTATAAGGGAACACGCTCTAATGAAAAACAAAACAACAAAGCTAGCACAAAGAGGTCTGGGCTGCAGACTCCGGAGATGGGGTTGGAAGGATCAGAGAGATGATCTGGTCCAGCTCTCTCCTGATGACTGACAGCCCTTCTAAGCATCTGAACCGGAGAGGTCCAGCTTCTGGTGAATCTGGAACTGTCTCGGGGGGAGCCCCCTGCAGGGATGGATGTCTCCGGTGAATGGAATGTTCTTCCTCAATCAAAGTAAAACTGGCCTCCCTGTAACGTCACACAGCGCGTCCTGGGCGTCTCCCCCAGGTGCCGCCGCGGGATAACCCTCCACCACTCTGAAGATAGTCAGCACTTCTGAGTCTTCGGTCTGCGTCTTTCCGGTTCTCTCAACCCTCCCTCCCCTGATGGGTGATGGGGTTATTCAGCCCTTCAGTAACTGAACAGGATTAGGACCCAGATCTAACCTGAAACAGGGGTCTTTGCACTTCGGTTCCTAGCCTCATGCCGTCCACAGAAGGTGGTCTGCAAAACGTGGAGGCCTAGACACAGAAATCAGGTTCTCCCTCAGGCGGGCAGCTGGACCCGAAGGCATGGAAACATCGTATGCGGTGTTCAGGACCCGCTCTCACCGGGGCCGGGACTGTGATTCGGACTCGGGCTGCTGAAAACCCAGGTGTGCGCAGAGCTGAGACGCTCTGTTCTCTGGTTCTGCGGAGCTTCCCCCCGGATCTGCCGTTCCACTGCAGTCAGGTGTAACCCAAGCACGAAGGAAGTTTCGTTAATGGTTGGTTTGCTTACCAAGTACAATACTCGTCCTGCCGATAAAGTGCAGACGAGTACAAAGACGTAGAATCCCATAATCCTGCCACTCAGAGCAAACTAGTAACGTGCTGGCACCGAGAATGCCTGAACAGCCACGGCTCTGCCCGCCCGTCTTGTTAAGCCGAAGCCCGTGGCTGCTTCCTCCCACACACCGTGTCAAGAAGAGACGTGTTCAAGCTATAAACTCGCAGTACCTACACTTACAAAACAGTGATCCACGAGGTCTGATCAGGGCGGCGCCAGTTAAAGCCACCAGCTCCTGGACTTCTGGAGCCCCTGTGAAGGGAGCTGTGGTCCTCCCCTGCACTTCTAATCGCCCGTCTCTTCTCGTCGGCTCGCTCCTTCTGTCTCCTTCAGCTGCTCGCATCGAAGCCTCAGGGAGGGCCGAGGAGCCCATTCTCCGCCGTGCCGCTTTCTGGGCATCCCTCCCCTCTCCCATCAGGAGACCCCACGAACGGGAGTAGGGAGGGCTGAAGCCCCCGCCCCCACCCGAAGGCAAGGTCGGCGTAAAGTCTGTGCTCATTCCTGGGCCATCCAGACAGACCTGTGCAGGGAGTGTATCCGTAGTGCTCGGCAGCCTGTGGAAACACCGGGCAGTCATCTGTGCGTTTCACCAAGGACTCTGAAAGACCCAAGGACGTGAGTGTGAACGAGGCTCTAAGCCGCGAGGGCCGCCGTGAAGACGTGGGCACAGCTTCAGCCCGCGTGCCGTGGTCTCCAGCAGAATCTGACAGGTCGCACGCCCCGCAGCACTGAGCGCGCCCTGCAACGTCGCAGGTCACGCGGGACGGGCTTACTGCTGCGTGGGTTTTTTTTTTAATAGCAGCTTTATTGAGGTGCCATCCACGCACCACACAGCTCACCCATTCAAAGCGTGCCTAGGGTGGTTGTGGGGCTGTGCCACCAGCACCCTAGTTTCACAGCATTTGATACCCCCCAAAAGAAGCGCCTCACCCTTAGGAGTGGAGCCCCCATGGGAGGTCACTCCTGGTCCCCCCGACCCCGTGAGTCCTGGGCAGCCACAGGCTTGCCTTTCTGGACACTTCATAGAGCTGGAGTCATACACCACGTGGTCCTCTGTGAGCGCCCCTTTGGCTCAGCCTGCCGTCTTCAGGGTTCCTCCGAGTCAAAGCGCGCGCCCGGCAGGACTTCATTTCCTCTTATCACCAAACAATATTTCACGTTTTTTCCCCACATACCCCATTTTACGTATCTGTTCATTGGTTGATGGGCATCCAGGTGGCTGTTATGACAATTACCGCTGTGGACACTCACAAGCAAGTTTTTACGTGCACACGTCTTCATCTCGCTCGGGCACACCCCTCGGAGCCGGTAAGGCTGTTTAATCTCTTGATTAAAGGTTAAAGGACCCGCCACACGACCAGAGCAGTGGCGTCATTCTCCATTCCCGTCAGCAGCGTGTCAGGGTGGGATTTCTCAGGCCAAAGACTTCAGTTTGCTTGGGAAGCAAGTTACTGCTAAAACTCTTTTTCACTGCGCTCTTAAAGATACTCTTCATGCCTTTTTCATTTGAATCAGAATTTTATTTACTGTGAGACCAAGTGCTTCAATACAGTTG